ATTTGAGAAATTGATTGAAACAGTAATTAGGTATAAGCAGTAAAACACCTGGGAAATTATGATATAGGAGGTTCTAACTGACTTTTTTTTTTAAACCAAGGAAAAGCACATCTCACTACTTTCTTAAAATTCTTTACATGATATGTAACGCACTAATAGATAAGGGGGATGGTAATTTACTTAGACTTTCTGAAGACCTTTGGTATGTAATAGACCTCCAAAGAGAAACAAGGCATTGTCTTGGATCAAAACTTTTAGAACAAAAGATGAAACAAAGAACAAAATGAAAGAAAGAACCTTCATTATAGAAAAAGGTTAACGGCTGGTGCATTGAGGTTTGGTGTTTGGTCCAGTGTTGTGTAATATAGTAATGAACGAGCTGGAGAGAGGGAGTACCTTGTAAACTACAAAAATTTGCACATAGTACAAAGTTATTTAGAGCCATCGTGGCCAGGGAGGTCTGAGCGGGCCTCCTTGGGGAGATCTGAATGTGCTTGGTGAATGGGCGGCAGGATGAATGTTTTAATTTGTCACCTGTGTGTTGAAAGTATTACTTATGGGAAGTTCTTGTCCCTGTTACAAGGTTCCTAATTCTGCTTAGTATGCAGCTTGGACACTGCAGGACACTGCCTGAGGGGTAACATAAAGAATATTGTAATGCATTTGTTTAAATGGAGGATGTGGCTTCATCTGAAAATATCAGGTGCAGTATTGGTCCATCTTGGGAAGATTATTGAAGAATAAGAGGAAGTTCAGAGAAGTCTGACAGGACAAAGCCATATGGGAAGCTTCCCACAGCAGAGTAATAGAAAAGATTGTGACTCTTTATCCTCGAAAGGAGAGGAATAAAAAGAAATTACAAAAGAGTTCAGTCAAGAACTTCTATTTTCCCCATCTCATAGCAAGAACAAGGGGGTAAGCAATAAAGTGAAGCACTCCTTCTTTCAAACCATAGTTTAACTGTTGAACTCACTCAGGTGGGAAAACATCGAGGGCAAAAGTATATCAAAATTCAGAAAGGGCTGAGCTATTCTGTGCATTTCCAGAAGAGCCAGATTTAGGATAACTGGAAGTGATACTGCATTTATCCCTCAGGACTGACCTGTTAGAGATCAGGATGAAATGTAGTATTAGGGTAGATTATTTTTGCATTTGTCTCCTGACAGACACTCATACCTTCTTCTGGAGCATCTGATGTGACTGCATAGCATAGCACAACAAATATCAAAGCAAACAGAGGCAAGTGTGGGGCCACGGCTTAATTTCTCAAGCCTAGAAGACTCTGTCTGGCCTTGTTTGAAGCTTCTGGCATTGGCTGGTGCCTTCATAAGCAGGACAGTGGGTGGAACGGACCCCGCTTTGCTTCTGTACAGCAGTTCCCGTGGTCTGGGGGAAGCCTTGATCTTTCACATGAAAACTACATTTCAGGCATTGAGTTGGCTTCTCAGTTTTCTTTAGGGTACAGGCATAAGAGAAAAATATACTCTTCTAGCTTTTGTGGGAAAATCCTGGAGAGTAAATACGAAAGAGAAAATTAGGGATTTAGTGAAATGAATTTAATGATCCCTAGTAGTGTTTAACTATTTCTCTAAGTTAACTGAACCATCGTTTAGATTTTTGGAGACTTTTGTCTCTGAGAATTCAAAAAGTGGTTTGGAACGTAATATCCTGTCTTCATTACTGTATCCTTACAGATTAGCCATCTTCCAGGAAGGACTGAATTAATTACAAAGATTGAATTCATTACTAAGAGGTTGTCTTTGGACCTTTGTAGGTTTTTATGCTGTAGTATTTACATTCCAGTAAGATAGTGTCTGCCATTTCCCACTTTCTAGAGCTACTTAGGAATGAAAATGGACTCCTAGAAGCTACCAGTGGAGAAGAAAGTGAAGGAGTTGAATAGCAGCAAGCTTAGTGGGCAGATGGGAGGCAGCTGCCCTGAGTTTCTTTTTGCCGGGTTTCCTGCTTGCTAACTTAACTTCTTGGTGACTCAATCTCCCCATCAGTAAACTGGGAATAAAAGTATTACCTCACACCACCTTGTCAGTGGAATGTTAAATTTAATAAGTAAAAAATGCTCTGAGAGTTTTGGATGAAAAGTCTCCTGGAGTGTTGCTGGTGGGAAGTAGCAGCACCACGCAAAACAAACATGCCACTTAAAGGCAGCTACTGGTTTTTGACCTTAAAGCCTACCTTTCCCTCTGACTTAATGTTCAATATCTCTGGAACAAACAGGAAGTATGTGCTGGTTTTGGCTGGGGTAGAGTTAATTTTCTTCATAGAAGCCAGTATGAGGCTATGTTTTGGATTTGTGCTGGAAACAGTGTTGATAACACAGGGATGTGTTAGTTACTGCTGAGCAGTGCTTACACACAGTCAAGGCCTTTTCTCCTACTCACACCATCCCACCAGCGAGTAGGCTGGGGGTGCACAAGAAGCTGGGAGGGGG